AGGGAGGAAGGGAAGGAGGACGGGATGGAGGGGGAGAGAGTCGTGTTTATTATCTCACAAAGGCGAATAGATTTTGTCATGCGCCAAAGTCCGATATTGCACAAAAAAGGCGTCAAGTACACGCGCTGGTTGTGAAAAATTGTGTTATATATATTTACAAAATACTCTTATTTAAATTTAATCTGTACAAAATAGTGTTATTTTAAATTATTGAAAATAAAAACTTATGAAAATATTTTAACCAAAAGAAGTTGTGTACAAAATAGTTGTTTTAATTTTCTACTTATATCCTATAAAAATAATGATACCAAAAAATTGCGCCAATTGAAAATAAAAAATTATATAAATATTTTAACCGAAAACAGTTGTACAAAATAGTGTCATTTATTGTTATATATGTATCGACACGTCTTCTCCACTGCAGAGAGAAGGAGGGAGAAAGGGAGATGGAGAGAGAGAGGGGGAAAGAGAGGGAAAGGGAGGGAGAGAGAGGTGGTGGGAGGGCGGGAGGAATTTCTTACAAAAATAATAATATTAACAAGTTGCACTAAATAAATAAAAATTTATTCTATATACAGGGTGTCCCCAATTTAAATGTCAAAACTTTAGGAGCGTGTATTACTTTAATGTTGCGTTTCCATAAACAAATTAAACAATTTCACTACGTTACTTTGCATGTACACTTTATAAAAACAGATTCTTTAAATATGCAATTACAATAACAAAATGTAACAAAACTAATGAAATCAATAACTGAAGTATAATGTTACTTTTAATTATCGTAATTACATATTTTTGAAAGTAAGAATTATAAATGCTTAAACATTTTATGTTAAGGCTTTTGATTCCTCGCTAAAGTTGTACTTGTTTTATGATGTCAAAATAAGAAAACATATGCCAAGAATTCTTGTGTTGTACGTTCAACTGAAAACAAAATCATAAAAAAATGGATTAAAAAGGAAAGTTTTATTTTTTCTCTTGCATGCTTTTTTATATAACATTTTTAAAGTTTATTTTGTGACAATTGTTCGAAGAAAAGGAAACAGTTCGAAGTATTTTGCAATAAGTAGTGTTGAATTGATCACTAATGTCATTTTGTGACTATATCTTTTATTGTAATATGTATATAATGCAAGAATTCTTGGCATGCGTTTTCTCGCTTCTGACGTTATCAGACCAGGGGGCCTATTACGGTTTTTGAAACGAAGTGAAAATTACAAAAGTGAGAAAATTCAGTAGAGTATCTACAATTTCATTTATCAAAATCTAGTGTTCACTTTTGTAATTTTCACTTCGTTTTAAGAACCGTAATAGGCCCCAAGGACGACTGTAGCAAGGGAAGCAGAAACCTTAATATAATCAAAATTGTGTAGAAGCACAAATGTACCACATCCTTCTGGAACGCG